GTTGCTCTCCGCACATCGCATCAGTGAGAGGCTCGGCCAACAATGCGACCTGCTGCAGTCTTGGCGGGACCGACAGCCAAGTGATGGCCGTGGCCTGCTCGTTGAGCATTGCGGCGAAGCTCTCTGTCAGCTTCGTCCAATGCGCGCGCCGCTGAATCTGCAAGTGGCTCGCAGTGCTCAACAATCCATGCTCTGCAGCGCGGGCGGCGCGAGTCAGAAGCATACGATATCAATCCGAGTCGCTGTTTAAACTCAGCACCGCAGGCGGGGCACCTGGAGCAGGCTAGATAGCCTCAAATCTCCAGGCGCGCGCCATGCTTTATTCGCTGGTGGCTTCGGAGCGCCTTCTCGGGCAGGAACGCGTCGCCGCAATGGCATGCATGCGACTTGCGTCCTGGGGCGGGGTTCGGAGCAGCGCGGGCGTCGGGCGCCGAGTCGCAGAAAAAACAATCGACCGTTGAACGATGTCCAGCCGCTTTCGTCGAGCATCATGCGCATCCATGCTTCGGGGTCCTCGTCGAGTGCGGGCAGGTCTGGGCAGCGCTGATGCCGATGCAAACCGGCGTCGCCCTCGAGCGCAAGAACCCGCCGGAGTTTCTGCCCGCGGGGGCGCGCGTGCAGAAGCGCGATCAGAGCCCGGGAGCGCTCTCGAACAAGACGCCCGCAGCACTTCAGGCGCATCCTGGCTATGATGCATTCGATCGCAGGCTGGCGCAAAGCAGATCGCACCTCCCTGTCGCAGCGTTCGACTCGACAGAATCGAGGCTCGTGGAAAATGCGACGAAGTAAGCCCATGCAGAATTCTTGATAGAAGGCACTGCACGAAATACAGCTTGTGGGCCTGCGCCACGAGGGCCGATCCAGAGATTTTATGCGATGGCGGTGAATAAGCAGACGTGGTTTTGGCGGCCTCGCAAGTGGCACCTGCTAAGCTGCGAGCGCAGAGCGACGAGGTGGCGCCGAGATGCTCGCGCGAACTTACCACGCGGATGCGCGCGTCACGGCGAGGCACTTGTGTAAAGAGCTGCCCCGAGGCGTCGCGACGAGCTTCGCGACGCGCCGTCGCGCGAGTGCCCCGGAACATGGGCAGCGACTCAGTTTTGTTCCAGGCGGGGCGCTGATCTGCCGATGAAGGTTGAAGGTCTTCAAACACATTGAAAACCGTGTCAAGCAATGCATCGATCTTGCGATCGAGTTCCGCAGGAGAGGATGCTACGATTGCCGACGCTTCATCGTCAATGAAGGCTGCGTCCAGCACGGACTCGTTGGGGCCGGCGGAGGGGGGGGCAGGGGGGGCCCAGAAAGCACCGCCAGCGAGTGGGAGCATTAAAGAAACCCCTTTTTCTCGGAGTCTGCTGGATGTGAGGTCTAGGGCAATGCCACAGACGCTATTAAACGTGGTGGCACCTAACTGACAGCCTTGCCGGCCTCCAGCGCGGCCCGTGACGCGCGTGGGCAGGTCTGAAATTTCCGCCCAAGCGCCTTCGTGGAGCGCGCGCATCATCTCGGCGGCGGCGCCGCCCACTCCCCACTGTTCCAGCAGGTGGCCGTGCTCCGCGAGATAAGTCAACATCCGGTCAGCTGGTTCACTCGAGACGCCCAACGAAATCCAGCGAGATCGATGGGAATTTTAGGGCGCCCGCCCCCAACCAAACACCAACTGCCGAATTGCGCGGTCAAGTGCTTTTGTCAAGTCTTCACGTAATACAAATACTTGCAAACGTGCAAGCTCGGCTTGATCGATGAGAGAATGCAACAGATGGGGCGCCATGTCAGTCCCCCTGCGAGGGATAGCTCCGCACTGCGACTCCGGCCGGTGGGACGCGTGCGCATCGGGGATCGACTGTTGCAACATGCCGCCAAGTCCCTTACTGGCGTGGTCTGCAAGCAAAATGTTGCGATAGTCGTCAGTATTCTTTGGATCGCCTTTGCGCATGAAAATCTCTTGCGAACGACCTCGCCTCTACTGGGGGGGCCGTGCCCCAGTGGCCTTGACTCTCTCGCTTACAGCCGGAAACTTGCATGCCAGAGCAGATTCCCCTGCTTGAAGAAGTTCGGCGGGGATGCCGCCATAGCCAACCCCCTCGTTGCAACCGAGTGCCGCGCGCGCGACTCGGGCGGCCCCGGGCCCAATGTCGAGGGAGGAGGAGGGGGGGGGGGGGGGGGGGGGGGGGGGAGGAGGAGGAGGAGGAGGAGGAGGAGGAGGAGGAGGAGGAGGAGGAGGAGGAGGAGGAGGAGGAGGAGGAGGAGGCGGGGGACGAGAGAAAGGGATGAGGGGGAGGAACGTTCGGCGGCTCCGCGGCCGGATGGCGGAGGGAGGCCTTGTTGACCACATCGCCGCAGAAAACATGTGCCACGTGGCTCTGCCATGTTAGTTTCACTTCCTCGGTTGTGGAGGTGAGCGAGCCGTCGGGTTTGAGTGAGCACTGGCTGGGGCGGTTCGCTCGGCGCCCGAGCGCGCGCACCACGACGCATGCCTGACGAGGGTCATTGACATCAGCAGCACGGGGCACGTTGGCAGCTAGACAGTCTAGGCACGCTTGGCGGTCTTGTTCAAGCACTGGACGAATCCACTTCGCATCCGAAAAATCACGGCAGTAATGCGGGCTTCGAGCATGAAGCCTTTGCGCACTTCTGCACGCAGACTGGGCGCAATCAAAAACTCGCGGCGGACGGAAGGGCAAGGGCGCCGCCCTCTCCAGGCATGGAGGACAAAACGCGCATGCCCCACGGCGTCGCTCGACAGTGGCGGCGAAACGAGCACGGCGCAGGGATGCTATATGTTGTGCCACCTGCCGCACTCGCGGCGTCATCCATGGCTTGTGCGGTTGTTTAACCGGCGGGCCAAAACTGACAGATGCGGCCCAACGGGCCCACGTGTTCAGCAATGCAACGTGGTCGGCGGCATGAACTGATGATGGGGCATCTGGGAACTGCCGCATCAAAGTCTGGAAACACTTTCGGCACGCAGGCACGCGAAGGTTCATTTTGCTCACGCGGAAGAATGTGGGCGGCGCGCGCAAAAATCACTGCTTGATGGTCGTCCTTGGCCGACAGCGTGAGGTCGACAGTGTAATCTACCTCGCGAGACGCATTGCGCGCATGAATTTCTTCCGGCACAAGAATAGAATCGATGCGATGCGTCGTGGCGCGAGTCGAGGTCCAAGTGGGCCAGCAAGTGCACCGCGCGTTGCGGATGCGGAGTTGGAAATCCCCGGCGTACAATCGCAGCGAACAGCCGTTATTATTCTCGGCTTCCGGGGTGCTCGGTCCATTTGCAGGTGAGGCTACTGAGCCAACCCTCCCGTCGGCATCAACTAGCGTGAGCCGCGGGATATCGTGAGAGCGCTGCATCTGCTGAGCGACGCGGGCGAGCTCGGCCCACCATTCGGCGCGCGCGCCAACAGGCACGACGCCCGTCGGAGCGCGGGCAACTAGAAAGCCAAGCTCGAGAGAGGCAATACGAACAACGGCATGCAAAATGCACGGGGGCACCGCATGCCAAAGAAACACGCTGGCGCGACGATGCACCCAGCACTGGACGCCTAGACAGCCGTCCGCCTCCGCAGCAGCAGCCAGCATTGTGCAATGCTGGCCTTCGGTCTGCTCGGAGTGGGGGGGGGGCCTCCCCTCCTGGATGCCAACCGCATCCAGGCTTCGCTCATCAAACTGCTGCTCAAGCAGCGTGACCTTCCTACGCATGCAGATCCCGCTGACTTGGGCATATGAGCGAGACAACTCTTGAGGAAGCAATGTTAAAACATTAGCCGTGGCGCACGCGAAATGCACAGGCGCCCCATCAAGAGCATCCGCGGCTACACCGCTCTCTGCTGCGTCTCCGCGGTGTTCCGAGAAGAGCGCAGGGAGCCAGTTGCCCTCCTCTTCTGGGCCCTCGTCTCGAAGGTGGCGATCGCGCGCTTGGACCGCTGCTTGCCATTCAAGCGGACCCTCGCTCCGGCAGGGGCCTGCTTGCCGTTCATCCGCATGGGGGCGTCGATGTTCTCTGCTTGCTCCAGGGTGGACTGGAACCTCGCCAGGATGGCATCGGACTGCGTCTTGGCCTTTTTCACCGCGGCCAGAGATATTGAGCCGAGCGCCGCAAGCTGCTCGACCGCCGCGTGCAGTTGCCTGCTGACGCGCCAGCTGCCTGTGACAGCTTCGCCGCGACCGCCTGGAGCTTCTGGGACACGTTGTTGGCGGCGGCTCGGGCACAGGTGGGGGCGATGATGGTTGGGTCGCCGACTTCGCAGCCTCCGCCCACGACCTGCGCATGCCGCTAGTGCTGCACGCGTTCTTGGCGCGGTTGCTGCTCTGGCACCCCGTGCACACCCACGCCCAGGGAGTCATGCTCGGGGGAGCGCGGCGGCCCACGCAGTGCCATGCGCCCGACGGGCCCCGCTTCCACTCCGATGTGGTAGGCGAGGCCGAGTACTGTGAGCCACGAGAGCCCTGTTCGTATTTGCCGCTCCATGACGCCATCGGACCAGCGTCGGCCGGAGACGCGACAGAACGTAGCAGCCGGGAATTACCGCGCACCGCCGTGCGGAAGAGCTTGATCGCCTGCGGGGCCACGAGGCTTGAGCCACAGGAGATGATCAGGAAAGGTCAGCGGAATGGTTGGGGGTCCCACATCAACGTCACGAATTGGGCCGTCGAGCAGAGACAGCAGGCCTTGGACATCGCCGTGGAAGTCTGGACCTTCGTCGGCGTCATGTGCTTAAACTACTTGCACCTAGGCCACCTGAGCAGCGAGCACTGGGAGGCTGCGGGGCCCCTCTCTCAGATCCAGCCGGCGACCTCGCGTGTGATCGGAAAGACAATCAGGCGGCGCGTGGGCGACGCGCTGGCTGAGGTAGCGATGCCCTGCAGGCTTCAGAATTCGATGAAGAGCAGGGCGAGCTACAACTCGGGCAAGGACAGCAGGGCGGCGGCGCTCGAGTCACAAGGCTGAGGGCGTGGGCCGCTTGGATGACCTGGACTCCGTTGGGCCCGACCTGCAGGAGCTGCTCACCAGGCCTGCTCTGTCGCTGCCGTCGGAGTTGAAGTGGTCTGCGTCTCCGCCCAGAGCGAAGCTCAGCGTGGAGCGGGTGGAGTACCGGGGGGCCATTGCTGCCGAGCCAGTCGACCTCGGCTTGCCGGCGCCCATGCCGTCGGAGTGGATCTTCCAGGTCCCCGGCCGCGAGTTGACCAATGGCTTGTTTGCGGTCGCCATGTCTGGCACCCCGGCTGATGGGGCGTCGAGAGTCACTCGGCTACTTTCCAACGCGGCGCCCACGAAAGCCGACCTCCGCCCGCCGGCCAGGGGTGCCGTTGCTCTAGCCCCATAACCTTCGTGGGTCAGCATCTCGCCTGGGCTGGAGGATGTCTTTCCATGGAATTGGGATTACCAGAAGAGCGCCATTTTCATGCACCACCTACCCGCCCCCTGCTCGGGCTGCATTACTGCGTGCACGCCCGTGCCTGGCCGCGTCCTGGAGTTGGCTGCCAAGGAGGTCTGGCTCGCCATGGCTATCTTGCCCATGGTCTGGGTGCACCGCGTCCCCATCTTCCAGAGCATCCACCGCCGCGTGGCGCTGATAAAGGTGGCGGCTGGAGCAAATGTGCCTCCCGCGCGCGAGTGGAGACGGGGCCGACTTGCCTCGGCCGCGGTTGCTGCTCCTCTTGCTGGCGATGGCTCCCGCGATCGGTGGAGTACTTACATCGACGATTTCGATCACGGTGAGGCGCTCGACTGGCGGGCGGCAGTTCCGCTCATGGGGACGCCGGGCCAGATGCAGGCGCAGATGAGGCAGTAGCTACGAGAGGAGCGCCATCACCATCAGCAAGAACAAGGCGAACCAGAGGCAGGCCCCGGTCACCCGCATGGGTGTCGAGGTCGACGGGTCGCAGGTAGGGCCGCTGACGACAGGACCAATAACGTGCAGCTGCATGGCCTCACCGCGTGGCTCCTTGCCCGTGACCATCCCCTGGTTCCCTTTGATGGACCGCTGGGTGCGACCGCTAGAATTCCGAAGGTCGCTCTTCGGGGTGCCCAAAGCGATTTGGGAGCAGATGGGCTCAGGAAGGACGCTGCCGACGAGTGGTAGCCTCGACGAGTTGGCGCATGGCCGCCTGCCCCTGCCCCACGCGCCCACCAACCTGAGGGCGATGGCGGCTGGCATCGCGTCGTGCTCTGATGCGAGCGGGGGCGACGCTGACAGGTGCGCGGCCGCGGGCGTGGCTGAAGGAGCTGCCGACTTGCGGGCTAGCCTGAGTGACCCAAGACTTGGGGCCACCGCGTCGCGGGCTACTCAGGCAGGCGCGTCGCCGGGTTGCCGCATGCCCCAGGACTTCGAGCCCGACAGCGCCAAGGACGAGCCGCGCATCCTGCGGGACAGCCTGTTCGACGGCATCGGGGGCGCGATCGCGTCGCCGGTCCGCTCGGGTTTCGTTATCGGCGGCTACCTGAGGAGTGAGATCGACGAAAGAGCCCGCCAAGTCCCACGGTCTCGCTGACCTGGGCTGATCGAGCTCGGCCCCATGGAGGAAATTCACGGTGAACAGCTGGCGGCCCTGGCCATGTTCAAGGATCGGCTTGTGGCCGCGGTCGTCGCAGGAGAGAGTCCTTGCCAGGATGCCGGCGGCGTGAACGCTGAGCGGCAGGGCGCGCGCGGCGTTCGGAGCGGCCTGTTCCCGCGGATCCCAAAGGCGATATGCGTCCTTGCTCGAGCTATGCATGTGCCTGCGCATTGGATCGTGGGAAATGTTTTCTCCGCGAGCGCGGGGCCCCGCCTGGAGTTCTCCCGCGCCCTCCAGGTTCGGCCCGTCAGCGCGTGCAACTCCTTGTCCACAGAGGACCGGCGTCCGCGTCTTTATTGGCGTTCTTGGAGGGAGGCGATCATCGGGCCCCCTAGGGTGCTCTGGGAGGCCAAGGCTGACTACGGCCTCATCTCGGCTATTAAGGTTTCATCGGCTCCTGCAGGGCCCTCTGGGTGCTCTGGGTGCTCTAGGGTCTCGGCAGGGGGGCCCGTCTGCGCGTTTCTCCAACGACGAGAGGTGACGGCCCCGCACATGCCCGCGGGTTTACCTACAGCAAATTCAGAGGCCATCCATAGGTGGACCCAGGATCGTCACGCGCATCATCCTTATCAGTGCAAGCGCGCGCACGTGGGTAGGGAATCCAAGGGGGGCGCGAGGCCACTGCGTGCTACTGAGCGAGAGGTCCTGACGGGGATCCCCAGGCACTGCGCTTCGTCCGTGGCCGCACGAACCTCCGCGGCATCACGCAGAGCCTCGATGTAAAGGACCTGCTAGGCGAATCTGTCGAGTCTTCACCGGGCCCAACGGTTAGCGTCGATTCTCTGGACGATCGCTGAGAAGGCTAGCAGCGACATCAGATTGGACATTGGCGTGCCCTTTCGGCCCGGCGCTTGGCCAAGGTCATAGATCCAGCTTTGCGGCGCTGGCGACCGACGTTGTCTTTCCACTGGCCGAGGACGGCCCGCGCAATGCACATCAGCGCTCTCGAGTTGAATGCGCAGGACTCGCGGGTCATCGCCCAGGAGCGTTAAGGTGCTGCTCCTGGTCAACTCGCAGGTGGTAGCTTCGATCTCGACGCGAGGTCGGAGATCCGCGGGGCAACTCCGCATGTTGACGCGTCAGTGCCCTGCCATTCTCTCGAGTTCAGTTCTCTGCGCTTGCATTGGCTACATCAGCGCGAAGCTAACCCCAGTGACCGACCTCCTCGAGAGTTTCTCACGAAGAAATGGCTCCGAAACGAGTCCGAGTGAGACTTGAGGGCGCAAGCGCAAGAAGTTGGCTGCGTGTGCGTACTCATATCAAGAAGAGAGGCGCACGCTTGCGAGACCTCCGGATCACCAAGCCCACTCGTTATGTATGTTTCGTTGTGCTCGGCGTCTTTTGGCGGCGAGCTCATAATGCTCGCTTGAGTTCGTTGCGGGAGGCTGACGGCGAGCCCGGTGAATCATTGAGGCCTGACAGGCCAAGCTCGAGCCGCTTCGCCTCTTGGTGAATGCAGCTACTGCGCGGGAGTGTGCGATGCCCTCTTTGGATGGCAACCTGCAGGAGAGCTAGAGCCTGGTCAGGACATGGAGGACAGCGTACACCCTGCCGAGCTACTCCAGTCACTACCCATATCGTCTTAGCCTTGGCTGCTGCCGCGTTGGGCCTTGGCTGGGAAGGCCTGGCCTTCGACTTGTTCATGCGAACAGGCGAGCTCCTGGCGCTCCGGCGACAGGAGTGCTAGTCCAGGGCGACCGTGCTGTCCTTCATACCAAGTCCTCAAAGACGAGGCTCAGGACAGAATTTTCCGAAGTCTAAGCTTGCGTGATGGAATCCGTCGGCAAGTTCCCAAACATCGATGCCTGAAACTTGAGGCGGATCGGCTTCTGTCTGAAATGCCAGCGCCTGAAGTTCGGGAGCGGTTGTCCCTGGTGCTCAGCTTGTTCGATACTTGTCTCTGACTGTCGCCGATACAGTAGCCCGCACACTGCCCCCGAGCTCTGAAAGAGAATTCAGACAGTTGCCTTGCGCTGGAGACAAATTGTGGAGGACCTTGACCGTTAAGCTGTGTATAGAAGTATATAGAAAGGTCGGCAAGCCACTGGAGGGGAACGTGGAAGGCTTTCTGGGTCGGCCCCGGGAGTTCAACACGTTTTTCCGTGTCCATGGTGTCTGTGGGGCCCCCGGCAATCCGCGAGTGGTCTCGGCTGTCCTGGCGCCAGTGCAGGCAGTGGGTGAGGAGCTCGCTGCCCGCGGCTGGTGGCCGAAGAAAGCCGAGTGCTCGCAGGGTGCTTGCTCTTTTTAGGCCCCCCCCTGAGGCCGTACCCCCGAGTGTGCTTGAGCTTCGCACTTCCAACCTTGTGGCGGCGCGGCGCCAAAAAAGAGGGGGCCCTAACATGTGATACAACACCTAAAGGGTTGTGTGTGGGCCTTTTGGACAGTGCGCCGCCGCCTCGTTCCGTAGGTGTCCGGCCCACTCGGCCCTCCAACCGTTTCTTGGCTGCCAACATTAATTAGGTCAGGCTCTCTGGATTGGCCCAGGGGTTTAACACGTTTTTCCGTTTTGCTGGTGTCTGTGGGGCCCACGGCACTCCGCGAGTGGTCTCGGGCTTCCTGGCGCCAGTGCAGGCAGTGGGGGAGGAGCTCGCTGCCCGCGGCTGGTGGCCGAGGAAAGCCGAGTGCTCGCGGGGTGCTTGCTCTGGCCCCCCCGCCGAGGCCGTATCCCCGTGTGTGCTTGAGCTTCGCACTTCCAAACCTGTGGCGTCGCGACGCCAAAAAAGAGGGGCCCAAAACATCCACATGACCCTGGGCACCCAAGGGTCGAGAGGACCTGGCCCAGGGACGCGACAAAGGAGCGGACTTGGTTTGGAGGCCCTGCTCATCTCCGAGTTCCCTCCTTCCTCCCGCCACTCCCTCCAATGTTCAGATTGAATCCCCTGGAGTTTTGGATTACGCATCGGCCGTGGTACTTTCTTGGTGTTGGTTTAGCCGAGTCTAGCTGACAATGGCCTGATCGGGCTTTCTCTGGCCCAGAATGTCGCGCTCCAGCTTGGCAACTCGCACCTTCATCCAGTTCGCTTGCTCTTTATCTCGAGAGTTGCAATCTGACGTGTTCCCCCCAATCCTCCCCAGGTGATTCAGGCCAACCTGGGCTTTCTGTATTTCGACTTCATCCAGGGGCCGAAGGGCGAGGAACCCAAGGGCCAGGCGCACCGTCTATTCCGCTCCTCCCGAGGAGGAGCAGTAGAAGCAGCAGCAGGGAGCAGGGAGGAGGAGGAGGAGGACGACGACGACGACGAAGAGGTGGATGAAAACAATACTAGTAAAAACACGACCACGACAAGGAGGGGTTGGCGACCAGAGCCCCGCCAGCTCCCACCAAGAGCTTTTGGACGCTCCTCGAGGCTGCTGCAAAGTCGATGTGGGCCATCTCCCCCCCTCCCCCGCACAGACCCGCACCTCACGCCCCACCCGCGTCCACATAGCGGGCGCGGGCGTGGCTTCGGCGCTGGAGCAGACGCCACTCCCCGTGGAAGGGCGCGGGGAGGTACCCGTGCACGGTGGCGGCGCGCACGCCGCCAGATGGCCGCCCCGACGAGAGCGAGCCTCTTCCCTCCCACCCCGTCCCGGAGGGAGGGCGGGACGCACGCGCCGCTAGACGGCCACCCCGATACGGTCGAACGTCCCGAGCTTTCCCGAGCCTCCCACCCCCCAGACCGGAGCGACACGCTATCCACTCCCACGGTATAGCGTGTCGCTGGGGCCGTCGCCGCGACACGCTAAGCAACAGTTCCTGACCGAAGGATCCTCCTTCCTCCTCCCTCGTCTCGGAGGGAGGGCGGGGCACGCGCGCCGCCACGCGGCCACCTCTATCAGAGCCTCCGGGGCCCAGAGCCCGTCCAAAGCCCTCGGAAGACCACGCCCTCAAGACCTCCGTGCGAGTCGCGAGTTCCCAGCCCTCGCAAGAGCCTCGCAGGGCCCCGCGCCGCACTGCCTCGCTCACCTGGCCCGCCCACCCGGCCAAGCGCGGAAAGCGGCCCCGCGCTCTCCTGCCCGACGGCTCCGGCGTCCCGCTCGCCCAACCGGCCCACGAACGTTGGCCCCGCGCCGCCCGACCACGCACGGGAGGGCCCTGCACGTTCGCTTCCCGCGCCCACGTAGCCCGCCCTGCCGCGCGGGCCTCCCTCCCCCCCTCCAGGAGGGAGGGGCGGAGGAGGACGGTGCAAGGAGACGGTCACGCAGTCCCAGGTTGCAGATCGCCTGGTCCAAAGTTTTGGTGAGCACCCTGGGACGTTTCAGAGCGCCTTGGGGCGGCCGAATCGCCCGACACGTCATCTGGACCCGCCAGCCCCCAGACATTCCCGAACTGTTCGCGCCCAGTGTCGTTCGCTCCGTGCCCTCGCCAGGGAGGAGGACCCAGCGGCGCGAAAGAGTGGCCAGGGCGAGGGGGGACGGCCTTCTCCAACACCGCCCCGCCTCTCAGAAGGCCCCCCGCCTTCCAAGAAGCCGGGTTCGCAAGGGGTTCCGAAACGCCCATCTCCGTGCCTTCCTGGAGGACCTCACACCCCGCCCCGCCACTTCTTGCGCACCGCCAGTTGGAGCCGCGCACCAATCGGGCGTCGCCCCAAGGCGCAGTCCTCCGGGGCGCCCCTTCGGGGTGCTACCCGCCCCCCCTAGGCCTTCCCAACGGGGTCGACCTGCCCCGAGGGGTCCCCCCTGCTACACGCAGTCCAAACGCAGTCCAGGGACGCCACCTCCTGGGCTCGCCTCGGTAAGGTATCATCCAGCATTTCCCCCTCCCTCCCGCCCCCTCGTTCCCGCCCTCCCTCCCTCCCCTCCTCATTCTCCTTCACCCCTCCCTCCCTCCCTCCCTCCCTCGTCCTCCTCCTCCTCCTCCTCTTCCTCCTCCTCCTCCATCCTTCTTCCTTATGGCTAGGTTCTCTGCGTCGCACCACCCGGCGTGCC